GCTAACACACTGGTCGTTCTTTGTCAGCCACAGAGAGTGTTTCACGGCACACGCAGTGATAGGGAAACGGGAAAGGACAGCTTCTGACGGCACGTAGGTAGCCCGGGCCACTCTTGCTGGAAACAGAAATGCTCTACCACTTTATCCCGTCACTTGTCTGAGTGAGTGCCATTGTAACTGCAGCTAAAGAATGAAGCTACAGAGGTTACCTGTCCTTAGCACCATACCCCCTGTCTGAGGGAGTACCACTCTTTCCCCAATGCCCAGTGTAGCATAACACCCCCTCGTCATTGTATGACACAGGAGTATCAGATGATGGAAAGAAGTTAAAAACTCTATCTTTTATTGAACAACAGGAAAAGTGAAGAAAGAACAATAAAAAAAATGTTGCAATTGCTCAGAGAACGAACAGTCTCTGCTTGCCTTTCGAGTAACAATAAATGTACACAGAACGAATAAAAACTTCACCCAGCTCGCTTCAATTGGAACTGGGTGTCAAGTAAGTCCTGTCTGGTTTGTTGCACCCGATACTGCATTGCTTTATCAGGCTGAAGGTGATGTTCCTTCTGCTCAATGTCATCATCTTCCTCCTCGGAAGACTGCTGCCACTCTCCCAGCTCTTCAGGATCATGTCTCCAGATGTGCAGGGCACACCATGCAACAATTGTGTAGTACACTCTTTTGGGGATGCACTATAAAATTCCCCCCCCCCCCCCCCCCAAGACAGATCTAAGCATCAGAAACTCATCTTCAGGAGGCCTATCATCTGCTCCATGATAGCCCTACTGGAAGAATGGACTGTGTTGTATCTACATTCAGCCTCACTCAGAGGGTTGCATAATAACTCAGTCATTAGCCATGATAGCAGAGAGTAACCCTTGTCTCCCAATAACCATCCTTGTAAGGCATTCTGCTCTTAAAATGTAGCAGGAACATGAAAGTTACAAGGATACAGGCATCGTGGCAGATTCTGGATATCTAGCACAGAGGACTTGTACATTGATGGAATAGAATCCTTTTCTGTTGAAGAAGTCAGCCATATTTTGATATAATGCTCTCAACACAATGTATACAAGGTACACAATGGAGAAGGCACTGATGTTGAAAATTCCTATTGCTCAAGGTGCAGCACTGACTCCATTATAGGGAAACAAGGTGAGGTGGTGTGATCTGTCACAATTTACGTTTTTAACAGCCTTGATACATTTGTGGTTTGAGAATTGACAGATTATACACAGTTCCCAGTTAATCCTTGGAAGCAGCAGATGGAGAAAAAGTGCAGCTGACACCTTGACAACCACTGGGATAGGATAACCACCCAATCCTTCAGGTTGCAAGTCCCACTCCAGTGGATAACACAGTTCAGTGACAGAATCATGGAATGTCCTCAACCTACTGGCAACAATGTGCCTCCCTTATCTGGAGGAAATGGCACTTAGGATGATAAGACTCTGGATCTCCTCTACCTCCTTCGCATCCTGAGGGATCCTTCACCTTCAACTTCTTCATGTGGAGGCCTGTTCGATAGCCTCTGGTGGTTGCTTGTGGGACCTGGGGGTTTGCTGGCACATTTGGTCCTCAATTTCTCTGCACCTTTGGTGTACTGTAGCCACTGTGACAATGTCACCTGCTGTGGCTGGATCAATTGGTCATAGTTCCAATGTGGAATAACAGAAACAGGACAAGTCTTTTTTTGCACAAGACAAGTCCTTAGTTCTGTTAACAGGCAGCATTCGCAGCACACACAAATGATGATTTAGCATTGTTTTCAATACCTTGAGATAAGGAGGACTCCAACAAGGAGGGCTGTGGAAAAGCTTCACACAAATCTTTTTTATACGAACGTTATTCTGAGGTATGCAGCACAAGCCATGCCGTGCAAATGGAGTAGGAGATTGTAAGTGCTGCAGAATTACTGAAACAGTTCCACCCCACCCCCACATTACCCAAGAAAGGCAGCCTTGCATGTAAGAGCGTATTAATGGATAATTACAGTTCAATGTGGGAGGAAATCGGCTCTGTGCCCTGATCAGCCAATGAGACGGTGGATTGTCTTTGTGAATTGTGGCCTACAGCTGCCATGTTACAGGTAACCTACAATTACTTCTGCTTCACAGAGATGATCAAAATTATTTTGTAAAGACAAAAGGACATGGTTGGGATACTCTTGACCAGGATTTTTATTACACACTGGTGGACGTTGCACGAATTCACATGTGGAATACTACAATTACAGATGTGTTCAACCTGTAACTCTGAAATTGCCTGATTAATTGCCACTTGAAGAGTCTCGCATCATACAATTAGGGCTCGTGTGCTCAGACAGGGAAATCTACTTACTGTACCAATTCTAGGTAGCATGGCAGCTATTTTCCATTTTCATTGCGCATTTGTGATTTGGATGAGAATGGAGAGCAACATGGGCGGTGATTTGATGAGTGACTCACTGGCTGATCCTGGTAATCTAGGGACTCTCCTAACTTTCCTGTTCCTTTCTTCCTTGCTCTCCCTGTTAACCCTATCAGTTTTGAGCATCTGCATCTTCCACCCAACTTCTTCATCTCCCACTATTAACCCTAAAGCCTAGGCTTGCAGCTATGCCAACCATTATGATGTACTGTTCCCCCACCACCTCCATTGAAGCCAGGGTGATGTTGACTGCTGATCAGCTCCTATTGCAGTAAGCTATGCTCTCCACTGTACTATCATCTTCTGTCTGGAGTTGTTCCTCTGTATGGCAGCATGCTACCTTGAATCCCCACTATTCAGTTTCCTACCACAGCAGTAGCCCGATAACGCCACCCTCAACTTTCAGTGAACAAATCCCGAAGACTGTCCGTACCCACTATCTTGGACTGACAAGATCCCTGACTGATATCTGTGCACTTTGCCAATGAAGATACCATTAATCCCATGATTAGTTGTACTGGACTTATAGGACTGACTGTGACCCTACTAACTTGTCTGTAATGATATGGAACCTCTGACTACCCCACCAGATGAACTGACCATTTCCAAGCCCTTAGCCTGAAACTGGATGCTGTCCTTGACTGACTGTAGCAAGATTCCCCAACTGATGACAGTCCCCCTTAACTTGACTGAAGTTTACTCCCCTTAGACTTTGAGATATGGTGATTTGTTTGACATACATGCTGCATGTTTGGTCAGTAAGCTCCTGGTACATGCTGTAGGTGACAGATTGATATAGCACAATGCCATACATATCCAAACACATCCACCCCATTGACTGATCATCGCTGGCAATCATGACAATGTGCCGGCTTTGCATTTACACTTAAAGGCAAGGCAAGACCAAGGTAATGTGAGCCTTTAAACTCAGATTGAGGGGTAAAAAGTGAAAGGTCAAGGCAAGGCAAGATAAGGCAAGGCAAAGCAGGAATGCTGTAAGCATCCAAGTAGTCATGGAGTGAGTAAGCGCTAAGAAAGCAAGCTAAGAGCCTGGAGAAGTACCCTGCTCTGATACATAATAATGGGAGCTTTTCTCTGCAAATAAAGCAGCTGGACAGCTGCATTATAGCGAAAGATGTTGGTACACTCCAAAGTGCAGCAATGAAGTGGCAAACTGTGTCCCAATAGAGTCGGAGATGTGTCATGAGGATGTGGTGATGCAAGTATGTGTCTGATACCAGCCTTGGTGGAAAGGGTGTGCAGCACAAGGTTTTCTGCCTTTGCAGCATATCCACAGTTGCTGGGGACTGCTGGCTAAGATAGAGGCTGGAGGAGTAAGCAGTGAACTGGAGCTGCCAGCTACCTGCTTTGACTTTTATGTCGGAAGTTGTTGCCATCTAGTTTCTCTCCATTGCTTGGTAGAATAGGAACCTTCATATAAATAAGACAGATTAGGTAATGATGAGACATAAATGCATGCAAATAGGCCTCTTACTATTGAAATCTTGGGTAGCAAATCGGACATTTTTCTGCCGATGTCAAGAATCCCATTCTCTCTTCTTGTTGTATTTTCTCAACTGACGTGCCAATGCCCATGTCATTTAGGGGTTCAGAGAATTCCAACTAAGATCTTTATACAACCATGTAAATATACTACATGAATGTTGACTAAGGCATGAAGAGATCTCAATTTCATTTACTGGAGGCTATGTACCGGCGTGCACTGGGTTGGAGACACTGTTATTCTGAACTTTTTATTTCTTTATTTTTCCAATTTTTTTTCCTAAGGATTTATTCTTCAGAACCTGTTTCTAGGTACTTTTGTACCTAAGATGGCACCACAACGTGGCAACTTGTAAACTTTCACTGTATTCATTTGAGTACGTGACAATAAAGCTAATTCAGATTAGTTGCACTTGAATATAATGCTAATGTAAATATTATTGTTGCATTATTCATTAAACTTCTACCCTGTTGTCAATACAAAATGTTTCAGATGGGCAGTATGAGAGTGTTAATGTAACGTGTGAATTAGCTCAATCACTTGATCTCAGTTTGTACGAAAATCAGAAATCATGACATCACAATCAATCAATAGGTGGGCTTGCATCTCAAAAACATTGCAATGTGTATGATATATTCTATGGCCACATATTAAAATTACTAAAGTAACCAGTTTGTGCTCCTTCAAACTTTACAAATTTAATCTGGAATGTTTTTAACTGTTTCGAAAGAAGCAACACTCCTGTTTGTACTCTTACAATATTAGAAATCAGTCTCCCTGTTGTGATATCTGAACAAGTGTTCAAATTCTTACATACATAATCCCTTTCTTGTTGAGGTCTGAGCACCTACAGTGAACTGTGGTGAGCAGTATAACTTTGATTTCACAACTCTTCCTTGCATGATACAATGTCTGAAACTCAAATCTGTAACACAGCAATTAATTAGAGATGAAGTATCATATTGATGTCATTTGTAAGCTCATGCATACATCTGTTTGCATAGTTTTCCACATTACAACTGCGTTGTCATAAAAGAGCTTGTTGCACCCTCTTAAAATGAAATATTATTAGACATCTAACTATAAATTAGATTTAGAGAGTGTTTATTGTCTGAGTTATTGTGAAAAGAACTATGGAAGTCAACCATAATCAAATCATTGCTTCAAAACATACAGCAGTCTCTATTTCTGCTGGACTCAGCTGCTGTTTCAGTTCAGCATACACTCCTGGTGACATAGGAAGTAGGTCTGATGATGAAACTGGAGCCGTTGAAGCATTTGGACTGAAAAAAGCAGAATAAATTAATAGTTAACACAAAACACAGCAATTTTTAGTGAAAGGTTCATTGGTTGTTGATACTTACAATTCAGAGAATGGTATAAACCTTGAGGAAATATAGCCTTTCTTCTCTGTCTCTGTGGGTTCAGATACTATTTAAAAGAAAAAGAAATTATATATTTTGGTACTTGATCGATTTTAATGATTTGTTACTATATTGAGGCCAATTTCCTTTTACAGCAGTATACAATATCTAAAATAAACAAAGAACTGTGGATGCTGGAGATCTGAAACAAATTACTAGATTGTAGATAGTTTTCCCATTCCTTTGCCTGCCTACCTCTTTCATATCTTTCTCTCTTTGTGCTCTGTCTCCAACTATCCGCTCACCTCTTCACACTACACACCATCCACCACCCCCCTCTTCCGCATTACTGATCTGTGATATAACTCCATATACATACCATTGTCCTATATCACTTAATTTTGATTAAAATAAACTTAATTTTAAAATTAACAATCAATCTAGCATCAATTGTTGCTTGTGCTAGAGTGTTTCAAACGAATACCACCCTTTGAAAGAAGAAGTCTTTCCTAATTTCACTCCTAAAATGTATGGCTCTAGTTATAGAATCCCAACCAGTGGAAACAGTTTCCCCCAGTTTGCCCTGTGGTTACCCTTAATATCTTGAAAACCTTAATCAAATAACTTCATATCCTTCTAAATTTCAAGGAATACACCACAGTTAGTGTGATCGCTCCACATAATTTAACCCTTGGGAGTCAAGGTATTGTTCTGGAAAATCTATATCATACCCCCTCCAAGGCCAATATCTCCTTTGTCAGGTGTGGTGTCCGGATCTTGTAGTATGCCAGCTGCCAGAGCTTCCTGCATTTTCTAATTTCAGTCTGCTAAATGTGATTTCAAGACAAAGTAATAAAATTATCTGGTTTATTACTATACCACCACAGACCGCCAACACTGACCTTCTTTTGGCTTATTGTTGTAATGCTTTCCAAAAGCTTTGTCCTTTGGAATATCGGGATATAGAAATTGTAGTGGGTTCTCTGGAATATTCTCAGCCACCATTACTTTGTAATCACGGATGATGTCAGGCAAAGGAACCGCTAATAACTGGCTCTTGGAGTAAGGTTCTACTGAATGAAATTTCATTTCCCCTAAAACAGCAACAGTTAAAGGTTATGTTCAGATCCTTGTGAAATTAAAAAGTGAATTTAACATTCAAATATTGGATAAAATTTTGACCACAAACTTTCAATCCTATCCCATCAAATTCAGGTACTTTAATTTATACTTTGCAGAATCTAATGGAATCTAGTGGGAAATAATTTATTTTATTGATCATGAAATCATGCATTTTTTCTATGAAATGGCATCATTTATTTAGCTCCCATGCATACTGAACAATAATACTGGTAACTAGCCCCATCCTATACATTTGTAGATTAGTTATGCCAATATTAGCATATAAAAACATGACAATAAATTCAGAACCTTGAATAAACAAGGAAAGAAAGTTCAAAAGACCTGTGACCATAGTGGTAGCAATATATTAGAGCCAATAAAGGTTCTAAAGTAGGAAGTAATTGAAAAATGGAGGTTAAAACCAGATCATTTATTGTACCTAAGGGTGCATAAAAGATACTTAGCATTTATCCAAGTGTGGAAATGTTCTGTATTCAAGTCTTGGACAGATAGATTTTATAGAGCACAGGAATGGTCAAGGAAATAAATTGCTTGGAATGAAATGAAAACCAAGCTTTCTGGATGCTGATATAGGAATGGAGAAGATATAAACTTTCTATTTGGGATCAAAAGAGATATGAGGAAGGTCAGAGGTGATAGTAGCTGTTTTATGTCCAATAGTTTTTTTTGAAAAAATTGAGCATCATTTTCTGTTCTTGTTACATTGACATTTTTTGTTGCAGGATTTTGAACAACAATATGCCTGGAGAATATCCAGCTATTTATAATTTACAAATCCATTTATCTTGGATTTACTTGGGAAAACTGACCAACGAAGCAGATGAAATCAGAGATGAAATCAGTGTGTATGTGAGATGAAATCAGAGGCTGTATTGAGCTTTTAATCCATGCTCTGAAGTCATAACAATAACTGGTATCTGACCTGGTGTGGTGAAGAATCTGTGGCATGTGTGAAGTGAAAAAAACAGCGAGACTTTTCAGTCAGTCAAGTTGAAAATTCTTCACTGAGATTGACAAGAGCAACTTAGCTCCCCAGAATGGATTGGTTGAGGCTGACAGAGTTGGTTTAACTAAATTCCTGATCACAAAGAAGTTGGGATATACTTGCAACTGAAACTAATGATGCTAAAGCAGGGAATATCTAATTCAGAATCACATTTGTAACAGATATAGAACATTGTGAAGAAAGCTTAGGTGATGGAGAATCTATAAAATACCAAGACTAAATGCCAGTAGAGAAGATTTTGACTTCTGAATTAGGATTGGTCCAACAATAAATGGTTCCCTTTGTTTACTCTCTATCTCTTTATTCTAAACAGAACTGAAAACAGCTCAGAGATTATCCAGCTGTTTATAGTTTACAAATCTACTTATTTTGGAGCATGCTTATTCCAAATTGTTTTCAAGTTGTGCCTCTGTCCCGAGCAACAGAAAGAAAGAATCCATTATTATCTTACCATTCTCAGATCGATCAACCCAGGTAAATGTAATCGCACCGTCTCTGCTGCTCTCACTGAACCTCAATAAAAATGTGCCAGATGGTTTATCCTTCAACAAAGCACGTTCATTTTCCTTACTCACAAATCCCACAATGTACCTAAAGAGACATAAATCAACATTTTTTAAACAAATTTACATAATAGAATTTCACTGTGCAAAGATTAAGGGTATCTTTCTTCCTTTTCCTATCTCCTCTTCTGAAGATGCAAAGTCTAGTTGCAGTTTGGTACATGACTGCTGGGAGGCCAATGGTAAGTAACATGCCCATTTATTACTCTCCATCTATAAAACCAGGAAAACAGCATCAAAGGGCCTTCTATATGGAGGTATCTATATGATGCAAGCACTACACATACACTTCCTAACAAAAGCTTATGGGTACTCATCAAGAACGAAAATCACTGTTGAATTCTGTCTGTGGGTCCTGAGGCCACTACTAGCACCTCACTGCAGCTAAGATTGGAATCAATGGAAATTAAAGCAGTAAGATTTCCACATGGCAGAGGACTGGTGCTGCATTGGACACCAGAGCCTAGATAATGCATCATATTCAAATTGGATTTGAATTCAGTGCAGTGCATGACGAATATATCCAAATGAGGTGTGTGCTAGGCTCATTTACTTATTACCAGCATGCCCCCACAGCAGTCAACAACCCAGAGGGCTGAAAGATTAGCTGTCTGGTTGTACAATCAGTTGGCAGTCAGGAATTGGATTAACAGTAGCCTGCAGACTTATAGCAGCTCGCTCCTGCTCCTCCATAATAAAGAAAGCAAAAACATTGAAAATGACCTTTCCAATACCAGGCTTCAGTGGCCCCTTTTAGAATTGCAAGTTTGGCTGTTAGGCAACCGTTGAGCATGCATCTAATGGCCATATGCGATAAAACCTAGCAATAAAGCCCTGAAGCAGGTGCTAGGTCCCATTTTGCACAGGAGATTGATTTCGAGGTAACTGCTCCAACAGAGCTTAAGCTGACAATTCAGATCTTTTTTAAAAAGGGATGATGATTGTTGATGCATGCCTTATATATTCAAAAGAATATGACACTAATCAATAAATCATTAGTCTTCGTATCAGAGAGAATAACCTTCAGCACTTTTGCTACTACTGACATTTCAATGTTTCTCTGAGTTAAGTATGACTTGACAACACAGTGTGGAGCTGGAGGAACACAGCAGACCAGGCAGCATCAGAGGAGCAGGAAAGTTGACATTTCGAGTTGGGACCCTTTTTTAGAAATGGGGAGGGGAAAGGGGGCTGGGAAATAAATAGAGAGACGAGTGGTGGGGCTCAGGAAGGTAGTGGGGATGGTGATAGGTGAGTGCAGGTAGGGAGTGGTGGGGATTGGAGTGGGATGGGTGGGGCAAATAGGTGGGAGTGAAGATGAATCTCTTGCATTTCCTGCACTTCTGCCCTCACAACCCTTCCCCCAACAAAAATAAAGACAGAATCTCCCTTGTCCTCACATATCACCCCACTATTCTCCGGATTTAATGTATCATTCTCCACAACTTCCACCACCTACAATCTGACCCCACAACCCAAGAGATATTTCCCTCCCCACCCCTATGTGCCTTTTGTAGGGACTGCTCACTCTGCGACTCCCTCATCTACTTCACACTCCCCACTAACCCCACCACACCCAGCACCTTTCCCTGCAACTACAGGAAGTGCTACACCTGCCTCTACATCTACACCCTCACCTCCATTCAAGGCCCAAAAACAAACCTTTCATATCAGACAGGGATTCACATGTACATCTGTCAACTTGGTCTACTGTATCTGCTGCTCCTGCTGTGGCCTCCTCTACATCGGTGAGACCAAGCATAGACTCGGAGACCATTCTGCGCTCTGTACATGACAAACAACACCACCTTCTGGTCGCCAACTATTTTAATCCCCCTCCCACTCCCTGGGTGACATGTTCATCCTGGGCCTCCTCCAATGTCACAATGACACCACCTGCAAACTTGAGGAGCAACACCTCGTATTCTGCTCGGGAGCCTACAGCCCGATGGCCTAAACATGAAACTCACCAGTTTTAAAATTTCAACACCCCTGGTCTCATCCCACGTCCAATCCTCCTTCCCATCCCTGCCTCCTTGACCTGACACAACCTGTCCATCTTCTCTCCCATCGATCTACCCCACCCATCCCACTGACCAATCCCTACCACCACTCACCTATCACCATCCCACCTACCTTCCCCAGCCCCAACCCTCCTCTCTCTATTTATTTCCCAGCTCCCTTCCCCTCCCCATTTCTGAAGAAGGGTCCTGATCCAAAACATCAACTTTCCCGCTCCTCTGATGCTGCCTGGTCTGCTGCCTTCCTCCAGCTCCACACTGTGTTGACTCTGACTCCAGCATCTGCAGTTTTTGCCATCTCTAAGTTTGACTTGATGTATTTTTGCAAGCAAAACACATTTCACAGTTCTACATAAACTTTTTGAGGGAGTAGCTAAAGTAGTGGATGAAATTAATAAATGAGGCTACTCATTGGGTTTGTCACATTGATTTTCAGAAGACATTTGATATATTTGTGACTGAGAATATATGGACAGAGATATTCCAAAGGCCAGAGAGTTATCAAAGCAACACAGTCTGGAGTTGCACGTTCAGACAATACAGAATTCTTGATGCAGTAACTCCATGGGAATTATCTGGGAATTTGGCTTTTCTGATGGGGACTTTCCCCTAAGACTAGAAATCTTCAAAAGAGCCCAGTTAATTTGGAGAATTCAGAGCATTCTGACTCAATTAAACTTAGTAAATACACAGGAAAAATTAGAAGATGAAAAAACTACTCCAACTTCTTGGTCACTCTTAAACTGAACCCCTAATCAATGACTGAAAGCCTCAACCACACCCTTGTTGGACTCCTTACACCAACACACCCTACGCTGAACCCCTGACAATCACCCACCAATCAGACCTACCCCTTGAGCTAACCAAAGTCCACCACCCTACTCAGAAAAGCTGTGAAGATTAACACTCCAAGGATCTGGAATAATATATGGGCTGGTTTAAGTACTGAAATTACCCTGGATGGAATCAAGTCACAGTTTGCATGACTTGTTCAGTATTTCCTGTCTTTTTTTCTTCTTATATCAGATTTCTAACATCTTCACTAGTTTGCTTTTGTATAAAACTCTCTAGCTTTCTTCAGAATGTATAGTTTTAGACTCTATCTTAAATGGTCTTTGATGTGTTGCGACTGGCAAAGAGAATTGTGAGTGTACAGAACAAAAGGCATGGGTATGTAATCTGATTATTAATGTATCAGTAAACTAGAGAAATGATAGTTCAATGAGTTGAATGGATATCTGGTTAACAATCAGAAAGAAGGTTGTTAATATAGGGCAGACATAGTCAGATACACTAGTTTAGTATTTTGAGCAATATAGGTACTATGGAATGTCATTTTTTCAAATGTAACAGATGAGGGTTGAATAATGAAGAACTCATGTTTGCATATTCAAGTGTTGTGATTGAAATTATGGCTTCTAAAGTGTTAAATTAAATCTTATTTGCTACAATGCAGTTTGTCCCATGAATTAAATCAAGTGACTGCTTCACTGCTAAGTGTACTGGTAACTTCAACAGTAATCAATAATATCCATCATTGGCTTTTAGTTACCCATCTATCCATAAAGCCAATAGGTGCTTCTTGATGAGTTCCAGGATTCCATCTAACCACAACCAGAAACTGAACCTGTTAGGAAGATTCTCCTGTAAATGAAACCAAAAAAAAAGTTACCAGAATTTGTAAAAAATAGTAGTCAGTGGTTCTGCAAATTCTAAAGTTTATAACTAGTTAGAATCAAGAACTGAAACATTACCTCCTGTCTAATCAAAAGATTTGAGTATGTGTACATATGCACAAACAAGTTTAGGGATGCAACTAACGCACAAATACACACAGAAATGTGTGATTATTGATTATGACAACTTACAGCAATAAATATATTTAACAGAAGGAGTTGGTTAGCTCAATGGACTGGATGGCTTGTTTATGATCCAGAGTGACAACAATAGTGTGGGTTCAATGCCTACAATGGTTAAAGTTACCATAAAGGTGCCATCTTCACAAACTTGCTCCTTGTCTGAGGTATGGTGACCTTCAGGTTAAACTCACCATCAGTTATCTCTCTCTAATGGCAGAATAGTCCTATAATCCTCTGGGACAATGGTGACTTTACTTTAAGTGGTTGTTTTGACTGGTGGGCCGAAGGACATTTTTCTGTGCTGTAGATCTCTATTACAGGTACTTCGCATTTTCTTTACTATCTTTAACAGAGAAAAATACCTCAAACTGCTTCACAGAGATGTAAAGAGAGAAAAAACATGCAGTTAAATAAGAGATAGTAAGAACTACAGATGCTGGAGTCAGAGGTAACAGTGTGGAGCTGGAGGAACACAGCAGGCCAGGCAGCATCAGAGGGGCAGGAAAGTTGAAAAGTTGGAAGTTCAGAAAATTTTCTGAAGAAGCATCCCGACCTGAAACGTCAGCTTTCCTGCTCCTCTGATGCTACCTGGCTTGCTGTGTTCCTCCAGCTCCACACTGTTACATATGCAGTCAAATAAAGCAGGTATTAAGATGAGTCAGTCAAAGGAGTATTTTCAAGACCTTGAAAGAAGACAGGGAGGTAGGTATGGGATAGTTTTGGAATTCCAAAGTACTGGATCCAGAAGGCTAAAGTCACAGCTGCAAACTGTGGTGTGACAAAAAGTGGGGATACAAAAGAAGTTGAAGTCAGAAAAACAGAGTGTTGGTGGTACAGGACCAGAGAAGATCATAGATTTTTTAAATTCACTCATGGGATATGGTGTCGCTGACTGGCCAGCATTTATTGCCCAGCCCTAGTTGCCCTGGAGAGGATGGTAGTGAACTGCCTCCTTGAATTGCTGCAGTCTATGTGCTGACTTGTGCTTTATAGACGGTGGACTGGCTTTGGGGAAATAGGTGAGTTCCACCCCACAGTATTGCTGGCCTCCTTACCTGTGCTTCCTACACAGATAGACCTTCGAGGAGTTGCTAGTGAACCTACTGCTCCGAAGTGTGGGAGTGATATTGATGAAATTCGTCCATCCCCATTGATTGAATTTTCTCAGTATTTTGAAGGCTTTCTGGGCAAAAGCACAACTTCTCGAGATAATTGAGAACTCAGATAGCAGAAAGAACAGCACCTCATTTACTCCCTAGGCATTTTACAGTCTTCAGGATTCAACATTGAGTTAACAACTTCAGACCATGAACTCTGTACTCCATTTTGATATTTTCCCTACATCTCTCCCTCCTCCTGTTTGTATCTGGTTTCTCATGGTTTTGCTTTCAATCAGATCTTATCTTTCTTCTGTCACGAGTCTGAATCTATATCCTGTCTTCTCTACAATCATTACCACTCCCTCGGACTTGTACTGTTCGATGGAAACTTTGATCTCCAATATTCTTTAACCTTCCGAGACAACAAGGTGCAGGGCTGGATGAACACAGCAGGCCAAGCAGCATCATAGGAGCAGAGAGGCTGACGTTTC